CAAATTTGGGGCGTTTCCGAAAAAATTCAATGAAACTGTTGAAAGCAGTGCATTCCCTAAACGGAGCTCGTCAACAGATGAACCTTTATTGACCTGCATCGATCAAAAGAGGTAAGGCTCTAATTGTGAATTCTTCAAGAATGTTCACTTGCTTTGGCCTAAGCAACCTGAAAATGTCCTGTCCCACGAGCAAATTATGAACTTGTCTGTTATTATTGAGTTCGATAACTTCAAAACCATTATTATGGCACGGTAACTCAATTGCCTTGTCCGCGTATTCTGATCCAGACATATGCGTTCGTCTCTGCATTTCGTCTTTTTAATCCGGTTTACGCCTTCACAGATCGACTCTTCGCATACTTCAGACAGCTTTTCAACTAATTGGGAATGGTTTTGACAAGGAATATGATCCTGATTCTCTAGTACAGTTGTCCCAGCAATATCCACTGAAGGCTGTGCATTTAGATTAGTAGACGTAACACTAGGTGTCTCCTCTGACTGAACTTCATAATCTGCAGGACATGCAGTGTTTGCCGCAGTGTAGGTCGGTTTTCGAAAACGTTGTGGAACGGTCGTTTGAATTGCAACAATCCGAACTCATGTTGGGGTTTGATTTGTGTGGATTTGAATGTTCTTGCACATCATCAGATGCAAGTCCTTTCGGACAAGAAACGAACTTTCTCAAGATAGTCCCATGGGCGGAATTAGGTGTGCCTGACGCTGATTCCAAGGCTTTCGGAACCTGCGTTGTATCTGACTCCCGAGGAACACGACTGCGTATACGAGCAGGTCCGATCGTGATGGCATAGATATTTTGTTGAGACATCCGTTGGATTAGGTCATTTTTGTTAACCATGGAGTTGGATTGAAGCAGACGACATCGAAAGCGGCACATCGTACATCGAAAATCAACTGAATTTGTCGCCAAAACGTCGTCTTGATCTGGCATCTTGGAAGAAGACGAGGTCGAAATTTGGGAAGTGCATTCTCCTAACTTGCTGGAGACAGTGACTGGTTGTGAAGCATCTGTATGGTGGAAAGATTAAGGAATAAAAAAGGAATTATCAAGTTCGGAAAAGCCGAGAACGACCTCTTTAGATTGAAAAGTATATAATCGAATCAACAAAGAACAAATGAACAAATTGTAAGCCACTTCTGCTTTTCAGATGAGTCGTTCATTCATATAGAGATATCTTTTCCTAAAAAAATATTTTGTTTGAAACATTCTAAAGCTTCAGCTTTACCAATAACGTCCAAACGTTTTGTTCATATGAGGATAAACACTTGACATAGGAAAGATTGCACTGCATAATAAAAATTAATAATAATAATGAACATCATGTTCTGGCAGAGCACAGAATTTGCATTGTGAACTCCGGACCATAATTTTGGAAGCCTATAATCAGTTTCCACGCCCCACCGTTAACCATCAGTTTACGCTAAATTTACAGAGAAAAGATAATCAACCAGGCTCACAGCTGGGTTCAGGGTTTCATTTGGTTGTGTGTTGTTTCAATTTATTGACAAACTAAAGGAAGGTAAGGTACTGCGTGTTTGGGCTGTCAGGGACAATCACATAAGACTGATAATCACTATCATCATCGTGCAGCGAAATACAGTGAGGCGAACTT